CTATGCAGTTCAGGCCTTGAGCTCACTTTGTAGCCCAGGCTGGTCTCGAACTCACAATCCTCCTGCCTCAGCCTCCTGAGTGCTGGGATTATAGGGGTGTGCCACCACGCCCACTGGCAGGATTTCTACCAGCCTTCTGGTCTTCTGAGCTTTGACCAGAATCTTCCATACAGAACAGCCGAAGGCGTTCCAGCTCTACTCTTTCAGGTGACATCTCTGAACCTTTCTAAACACTTCTGACCAGCCATTTCCAAAGGCTCTTGGACCACATGGTCAGGTATAGTCATAGCAACCACCCCACTTCTCTGGTACCAAATTCTTAGTGACTTTTCTCTCGTTGCTGAGATAAAATACCTGACACCTAAAATTAAGGAAGGAAAGGTTTTATTTAGGTCACAGTTTGTGGAAGTTTCAGTCCATATTCCGCTGGCTCCAAGGCAGAGTGGTACATGGCAGAGGGCAACAGTTCATTTCGGCATAGTGGAAAACAGCAAAAGCAGCAAGAGCAAAAAGGGGAGGGGAGAACAAGCCTCTTTCCCTCCCTTACATTGTATGCAAACTATCTGCCCCAGGACGGGTGTAGCCCTCACACTCATCATCCCAGCATTGGACCATGGATCAGTCATAAACTCTAGAAGCCCGCCCCATGACTGCATGAGGCTTTTGGGGAACATGCAGACACAAACCATAACACTTGACTAATGTTCCGTGAAGCCCATGGGCCCTATAGACACACTGCCCACTGGAGAAGGGTCTGCTTTGCTCCCAGTGCATAGCAGTGATGACTAAGACACAGTGGCCTGAGATCTTGATTTCTCAGGATGATAAGGTTGGAGGCTGAGGGGAGGGGCTTAGCCGGTCATCTGGCCCAGACATTCCCACACCTGCTAGGTGGTCTGATTCACCTGGGGAGATTTTATAAAGTGCAGATTCAAGATTTCTAGCCTAGATAGGCTCAACCCTCAACCACAGTTTAAAGGAGGGCAGAGATGAGGGGTTAAAAAGGTGAAGGTAGAGAGAGATGAGCCGAGAAGTCTGTGCATGTTAGAGCCCCCAGGTATTTCTGGTGGCCAGCCAAGACTGGGGACCATCCATGAACTCTGCCCCTTTATTTCACAGAGATAAAATCTGACACACAGGTGGAGAGGAGACTTGCCTGAGATCACCAGCCAGTGATACTAGAACTGGGCCAAGACCCCAGGTCTCCAATTTTCAGGCAGATACTCTCCTCATCACAGCCTTAGAAGAACACGGTCACCACACAGGGAGGGGAAATAGCAGGCTTTATGGGAAGAAGATCAAGAAGCAAGATGCCAGTGCTGAGAAAACCACGCGACCTTGGACAGGGACTAGCAGCTGCTCCTTGGTGTGACAGTCTGCCATAATCATCAGCGTCGGTCCTTGCTCCAGAAGGAGTCAAACTCCAGGCAAACTTTCCTAACTTCCACGAGTGTACATTCTGCCTGGCTGGTTGGCCAGAACTGAAATGATACAGGCCCTCTTATAACCCCTAGGGTCCCCATTTGTCCCCACCCCCTTTGGCATACGGGGTGACCCAGAACGCTGAAGTGTGTTAGGCAGAGCTGGCTGAGGAGCCAGAACACCAGGGAGGCAGTGGTTAGCAGCATGGGTGCTGCAATCGAGCTGTCCCAGGTTTAACTTCTGTTCGTTTGGGCCACTGCATCACCTCTCTGTGTCTCAGTTTTCTTGTCTCGAAAATGGGGATGAAAGTGGCAAGAGAAGGCATTTGACGAAGTTGGCCATTATGTGTGGGAGACTCTTCCAAGGGCTTCCCACTCCTCATAACTACTACAAGGCAGCTATGTTATTATCCCCACTTCACAGATGAGGAAAACCATGCCTACTTTTAATGCTATTATGAAGATTACCTGTGAAAATACATATGCAGAACCTAGCACAGTGCCTGCGACAGAATACAAGCTCAATAAATATCAGTCATTACTCTTATTAACATAACTATTCTGCAGAATTAATAACAGCTCTACTACTAATAACAGCTAAGTATGTCACTTCTTATTCTTCAGCCTCATTTTACCAGTCCATAAAATAAGAGTATTAGGGAATCTGATGAGATGACCTCTAAGTTGCCTTTGTGTCTAGGGTATTATCAGCCTCTCATTGATGGGGGGGGAATATATATATATATATATTCGTTTATTTATTTAAAAATAAACCCAAATGCTGCACTGTTAGGTGTTTCAGATGCTGCATGGATAGGTGTTTAGAAATGTGTAAAGCTGACACTATAAAAGCCCCCTATTTTTAAAAACGTTCATTTGGGGCTGGGGATTTAGCTCAGTGGCACAGCGCCTGCCTGGCAAGCGCGAGGTCGTGAGTTCAATTCCCAGTACCAGAAAAAAAAACAAAAACAAAAACAAAAACAAAACGTTCATTCCCTTTGACCTATTTATTGTACCTATCTGACTAAGGAAATAATCAGATTTACACTCTGGGATGTTCAGTGTTGACAGTCATGCCAGGTTATAAACAACCTGAATATCCAGTAAGAAGGGATCTGTTCTTTCTGCCTGGCACGCAGATTTTCATGTAGCAGCTCAAGAGTACTGGGCAGTTATCCAAAAGCATGCTTTCTATCACTTGCAATGCCACGGGGAAATATTCTACAAGTAAGACTGAGTCAAACAACCAAATTCAAAAATTCTATGTATAATATGACCTCACATCTGTACCACAAGAAATGACAAGGAGATAGACTAAAATATGAACAGAGATTGTCACCAAGTAATGGAGCAGGTGGTTTCTTTCTCTTTTTTGGAGACAGGGACTTGCTAAGTGGCCCGTGCTGACCTTGAACTCATCTTGCTGCCCCAGCCTCCCAGGTTGCTGGGATTACAGGTCTGTGCCATCATGCATGGCTCAAAAAGTAGATGATTTTTAAAAACTCAAATGTTTGAAGTGGTCATGTGCTGTACCCCACCATGTTTCTCTACTTCCCTGTTTTAATATTCTTTTTTTTTTTTGTCTTTTTGAGACAGGGTCTCGCTATGCAGTTCAGGCTGGCCTTGAGCTCACTTTGTAGCCCAGGCTGGTTTCAAACTCACAACGATCCTCCTGCCTCAGCCTCCTGAGTGCTGGGATTACAGGCGTGCTCCACCACACCCGGCTTACTTCCCTGTTTTATGTATTTTAATGGGCATTTCTTTTCCTTTTGGGTCCAGTCTGCCCTGTGTATGTGCACGGCCTGCCTGTAACGCAGACCCTGGGCCCATCCGTCAGCCAATGCTGCATTTGTTGCTTTCCTGTTAGAAACACACAAAAGTCTAATATTGAAAAACGAGCACTTGCCTTGTAGGAAAAGGAGCCCTCGCTCACAGAGGTGGCGCTGCTGGTGGGCGGGAGCTGCTGCAGCTGCAGGCCTGCGCCGGGGGCCGTGTCCATGGCGGTCTAGTGGCACATCCTGCCCGACGTGACTGAGAGCAGGAGCGGCTGCTAAGCCGGGCCCCAGCCGGAAGCCATCTCTCCTTGCGTTCACCTCCCTCCAGCAGCCGTCTCCTCAGCCAACAGAGTTCTCACGGCTCTTTTGGCTGATGTACAGGTTTCTCTTCAGCTTCTTGAGAGAAGAGCCAATTTCTGTCTGCTGGGCAGGCAGGCAAGGGTGCGTCTTCTGAGTCTTGCTGTGCTCTGGGGTGGTGGAGAGGAATGTCAAAAGCGGATGTTCAGAGAAGCCAGGAGCCCAGCTTTGCTCCTTGAGATCACTACAGGGACAAACTTCTTGCCAAGCCATAACAAAAACAAAAACAAAAGCATGCTTTCTATCACTAAACACAACTAACACCACGAGAAGTGAGGCCAGGGAAGACACTGTGTCACCCTGCAGGCCCCTTAAGAGAGATAGCACTCATCTATCGCAAAGCTTTCCCTCTGGCTCTATACCTCCTTTCTGCCTGTAAATTATTTATTTATTTATTTATTTCTGTCTGTCTTTTTGAGACAGGGCCTCGCGATGCAGTTCAGGCTGGCCTTGAGCTCACTTTGTAGCCCAAGCTGGTCTCAAACTCACAAAGGTCCTCCTGCCTCAGCCTCCCGAGTGCTGGGATTACACGCGCGTGCTACCATGCCCAGCTTTCTACTTGTAATTTAAACTCTTCTTCATAGGTTCTTGAGGACAAGAAGTAGAATACTACTGAATCCACTTCTCCACATCTCAAAAACAAAACAAAGCAAAACAAAACAATCCAACCCTGGATGGAGGCATGATCTAGGTTTCAATGGAGGAAGCAAGAATAAGAAAAGCTATCTCCAGGGAAGATGGAAGAGCTGCCTGCTACCCAGGGTCAGCCTGCACAGGTGAGGGGACACTGCGCTTGGAGGTAGAAGGCCTGACTGGTTCACTTTGCCTCTCAGAGACTCAGTGTCCTCATCTGTAAAATGGGGTAATATGTGGTCTCAAGCAGAACTGCCAGTGGTGATCATCTCTGTTAATTTCACTGACTGATAGCTTCTCAAACTTTTCTAGCAAGTGGAAAAGAAGAAAATATGCCCATAGTGTTTGGGGCCCAAATCCTAATAATAGTTTAATATGTATACATTTTTAAAAATCAATTCGTAACACCAAAACCAAAAAAAGGCCCAAAGAAAAATCATATGCATTTGGATCCTACTGCATATTTCTGTTTATTCTAATATAAAAATGTTTCAAATTGCTTTTGACCCACCATGTACTATCCATTTTACCTTATTTCACTGTTTAGCCAGTTTCCTTAGCTATAAAATATGGATAACAATGTTCCTATCCCACAGGGCATTTGTGCGAATTGGATGAAATAAGGCATGCAAAATTTATGCACAGTAAATGGGCAAGGAATGTCAGCTGTTATTAGTGTTAATTTGGTTCTCACTAGTTTATTCATTTAATTTATTCATGCATATCCTTTCCTTTCTATCAGGACCCACCCAAGAAAGGGTTATTGAGGGCTCACTGTGTTCTAAAGAGGCACAGTTTCTACCGTGGCCCAGGGTTCAGAGAGGGGCCTGTTGTGGAGCTTCTGCTATCATGCCCAGCCCAGGAATTCTGGTACCAGCTGTCAGTTGCGCCTGGCTAAGTCACAGGGCAAACACTATGTTCTGTACCTAGAAGCTAAAGACGCAGGCTTAGGAGGGGACAGGCACAAGACCACTTGACCAAAGCCTCACTTTATCAAAGGGCCTCACAATTCAACTACTGCTGCTGCCTCCAGTTGAGGTAATAGCCATCTAGGATACACACTCACCGGGAACTGTAACTCAGACCCCACAATCAGACTTCCAGGCAGGTAAAAACCTGTGCATAAGGGCTTGCAAAATTATGGGGAAGGCATAATTAGTCTTCACTAGACTTTTATGTACTGTACATGTGAAAGGCATTCTAGTGCTAAATTTCTGTACCGGGCTGGGGATTTAGCTCAGCGGCAAAAGCGCTTGCCTGGCAAGCGCAAGGTCGTGAGTTCGGTTCCTGGTACCGGAGAAAACCCCCCAAAAAATAAATAAATAAATAAATAAATTTCTGTACCCAGTCTTGGCATTTTTAATATAAAGAGAGTCGTAGCGGCACAGCGCTTGCCTGGTAAGTGTAAGGTCATGAGTTCAAGTCCCCGTACAAAAAAAAAAAAGTGGAAAGGAAGGGTGGCTCGGGGCTCTTTCTACCTCTGAGAGGCTCTAGGAGGTGGCCTGTCTGGAGCTGAAGGGGGACTGGGCACAAATTCTAGAAAGGTTTTTGCTGAATTCCCCCAAGGTCCAGCCCAGGGCCTGGTAAAGTGACTTGTACACAGGCCCCTGCCTAACTAAACGCAGGCCTGTTCAGCACCTGGTGTGCTATGGTCACTTTACAGTCAAGAACGCCTGACTCAGGCCCGGTCAACCACAATTCTGGAGCAACAACAAACAGATAAACCCAACCGCACCCACAGGATGTCAGAGAAAGCAAACAGGCCTCGGGGACCTGCTAAGGGGGTGGCAGGGATCCAGGCCTCTTAACCTCCTTTAGCACAGCTGCTTTTCTAGTTTTGCTTTGGTGTATGATGGTTTAATTGGCTTCGAAACAGCACCTCCCTCCCCCAGGACGCTCCCCCCATCACCTGGGCCTCTATGGCATCTCCTACAAGGACAGAAGAAGGTTTTCTTCCAGCTGGTGGTAGTTTGCCCTCAAAGCCTGGCTAGAACTCTGCAAGTTTTACTCCCTTATAAGGCACACATTCTTTGCCTAATGACTCTCTTTTCCTGGTGCCAGAACTAAGATATTAGCATCTATGCTAGAGAGGCAGGCAGCCAACGCCAGGGTGACAGTCACAGCTCGTGGTCATTGACTCCACAGAGGAAAGAGAATTCATCAGGTGCTTGCTTCCACCCCCATGCCCGAGCCTTATCACGGTGAATTATTTCACCAATCCCACAGAGCAGACTTCACAGAGAAAGTCACCTGGGCTCATGGCCGCTCAAAACAGGGTCTGTGTTAGAATCTGTCTCTAAGTGAACACATAAATAAAACGTGCGTTTTCCCACCACCTGACGATTCAGCTTCTAGCTGGCGGGTGTCAGTTACACGCCAAGCTTTCGCTCTCCCGGGCTTTGACTCTCCGGGAAGGGCTGCACCCTTCCATCCCCTCTCATTGAGTTGGAAACCGCACCTGCGGCGGCGAGGCAGACCTCTCCGTTCCCGCAGCCGGCATAGACCAAGGACGCCTCCCCTCATCCCACCTGCTAACCCCACCATTTGCTACTCCAGGAGCCCCGAGCCAGCACGGAGAGCAGTCATCCTGGAGAAGTTACTGCATCTCATTTCCTGATTTGGTAAAGCCTGGCTTCACCTTTACTAAGGCCAGCCCGTTTGCCCCAGCCTCTCCCTCTGATGCAAAAATGGATTTAAAAATTAAAAGAACTTCCAAGGCAAGAGGAGCCAAACGGACGAGATTGGGGACGGCAAGGAGAGAGCAGGGTGTCTATACAAGGGCTTGCTGGATAATCACAAATGCACAGCTTTCCTGAAAAAACGAAGGCTGGACTCAGGTTCCCTTTCTCCCAAGTCTTGACCATGACTCACCGGTGGCTTTTCCTCTAAGGTCCACCTGTCAGAGGTTTCCGAGAAACGACTTGGACTCTTCTTGCAACCCGGAGGCACAGCCTCCTTAATTCCCTTCCTCACTCGGAGCTGCCAAAGTGCTGCAGTGTTTTGCTTTCAAAGATCACAATTTGATTTGTCGAGCAGCCTGTCAGTCAGAAGCTGGCTGGGATTTAGCGCAGGCGAATGGCTGTAAGGAGGGGGCTGGGCGGGACCACCTCTGGCTATTGGCTGCGCTGCTAAGCTTGCTTGAAGCGTAGTAGAGAAACCTGAGACCCGGTCTGACGCTCACCTGGAGGGGTCCCCTCTAGCGGCCACAGGAAGAACAGTGGAAACCTCTTCCCCTATCTCAGGCTGTTCAGAGGAGCTTGGGTGATTGCTCACCTCCACCTGCCCAACAGGTGAGCTCGGCTTCACGAGCTGGCCAGGGGTCCTCCCTTATCCTCGCAGCCACCTCCAGGATTTTGCTTCTTGCTCTTTTGCACCCCACGTTCCCACCAGGTATTCAAATCCTAAACCCAGGATTCCCATAGCCCTCGCCAGTACTGGGGGCCCTGCGTACCTGTCCTTCCTCCCCTCCTGTCCCACCTGTGGTCTGCAGCTCAGCCATACTGGAGGGCGACAAGCTGCCTAGCACCTGATTACCGTTTCCCCAAGGTTCGGTTCTCATATGCATGCGATGGAGCTCTGTAGCTGACAAAAAAGCTTCTCATCACGCACATTTTCATGTGCGCGCTTTTTGGTTAGACCCTAACAGCAGTCTCTTAGTGAGACATTCGGCTCATGCGGATTTCACCGACAAAGAAGTAACATCTGGGAGAGAGCTCCACAATGACGACGAGGCACTGTGGGTCCACGTCCTGGGCGGGCAGAGCTCAGAGAGAACACGTAGGAAAGGACGGAGCTTGTGGCAACTGCCCTCGGGCCGGCAGCGCTGCTGCAAGATGTTTTTGGGGCTCGGGTGGCAGAGGCTGCGACCAGAGAGGACCGCCAAGGTCAGCTTGTGTTTGGATTTCATCCTCAATTAACGGGGAGCCAGTGGGGTCTTGAGCAGAGAAGTGACAAGATCACACATTTGCTCATACCAATCTTTATAGTTTATCAGAAACAGGGCTTGGATACTTGGTGATTCAGGTTTATTCTTAGGAATGGTTTTCGAATGAGAAAAAAATTAAAGCTTTTGATCTATATCAAGAATTTTGATTAAAAAACACAACACAAAACCCGTTAGTTCTTCCACCTGAGCCCTAAAATTCTGGCAGCTTCGCTGTGGATTTTGAAACGGCTCTCACGATTGGTCAACAACTTTTCACGCTAAAGAAACGGAGGATACTATTGGTTAGAGGTAGCCGGCGGTCGGAAGACTGTCTGCAATTGTTAGGTGGGTAGTTGCCATAGAGACCGGGAGGTTGGGCCAGCCCCACCGAACCCTTGGGAAAGAAGAGGCGGTTGCGGTTGGCAGAGCAGTAAGTCCTTGAGGTCGTGAGGAGGAGGATATGGCTTACCTCATGAGGCACCCAATGAGACCTCCGACCTCTGGGTGCATACATAATATCTGTGTCCCCCGAGGGCGGGAAGGTGCTCCTTCCTGAGGACGTGTCAATGTTCCCCATGAAAAGGGTTCCCACACCACGCCTTCTCCACTGAGCCCCCGTGAGAGACACAAGGATCTGACCCCTCTGCCTCAGCGTTGCCAGTGCACAGATATTTTCTGAGCTCCAGTGCCGGGGACCCTAATCCCGGGCCCACCCAGGTAATTGGGATGTCCCTCAGCAAACACTTTTCTTTCTCTGGGCCTCGGTTTTTGCATCTGTAAAATGAGAGGGTGAGACTGCGATCTAGTGATCACTAGCTGGACGCTTAAATTCCTTCTGGCTCTCTGACACACTTTCTCAGACTAAGAGAAATACCAACTTGATTATTTACCGGAGAGTCCTTTGAAAAATGCAACATGCTTCCAGGATGCTGAATAGCATTATAACTGAGTGGAGAAAAATCACCTGTACGCAAACCTACCTATGCTAAATTGACAGCATTCCACATAAAGTAACAGTATATTTGGCTTAGTATATGTTGATATGCTCTATACAATAATATATAAAAATGTATAAAATATATGATAATACTATAATTTTTAAAAAGAGAATAATAAAAAATAAAAACGGTACACAGTTTCAAAACAAGATTTATTTTTATTTAATTTTTGGTGCCGGGAATTGAACTCATGACCTCATGCTTGCTAGGCAGGCACTGTGCCACTGAGCTATATCCCCAGCCCAAAATAGGATGATAGGAAATTAACAATGGTTAGTATATTGCATATTGTTATCTTCAAAGTAGTTGCTCAGGCAGGTAAAACTGATCAAACAATATAAACACTAACTGTTCCTTTCAATGAACTAATAGAAATTAGTAGTATAATTATTTTAGCTATCTTGTGTACAAATATATATACGTTTTTCTCCTCCCTTCTTTTCTCCTTTCCCCCATCTCAGCTGTTCTTTTCTTTTGAGCTCAAAAGGATAATACTATAATTTAAATGTATAAAATATACATTTAATAATGTAATACTGTAGCATATGTCATAACTTTTTCATAAAAACAGTTGGTAAAATGAAAGCATACCTATTGTAACTGTGTGAGTTACATGCTTGTAGAATCTAGCTCTGGGAAGATCATAAATAAATACATAAATACACAAAATAGTTTTGAATAGTGAAAAGTGCATTAAAAAAGAAAGCATAAACAAAAAAACCCAGAAAAGCTAGCTGTGGTGGTGTATACCTGTAATCCCAGCACTCGAGAAGCTGAGGCAGAAGGATTGTTTCGAGTTCCAGGCCAGCCCGCGCTACATAGTGAGTTCAAGGCCAGCATGAACTAAGCTGTAGCAAGACCCTGTCTCAAAAACAGTAATAACAAAAAATGCAATAAAAACAGATGGGGTGGTGCTTCTTAAGAGAGAGTGGTTGGGGAAATCATTCTTAAGGTTTGAGGAAAAACCTAGATGAATCTGGTCATACATAGGATCAGAGGGCACTGCTGTTTTACTGAGAAGGAGGAACCCCCATTCTTGGAGGAGGCACTGAAAATGCCAATGAGATCCCGTGTGGGGAAGAGGATTAGTTTCTAGGTGGTGAGATACGACAGCTGCCTTCAAAGTCTTGGAGGACAATGCCATATAACAATGGTTTTCAAAAACATTTGGATTCTGTTCATGGTAAGAAGTGCATGGTATATTATGACGCACATGCACACAAAAACTTCACAGAAGACTGTGGACTATTACTTGAGTAGACTATAGTAATACAGTCTGTCACTTGAATAGACTATGGGCTATTACTTGAATTTTGAAACTCATCCATGAACCAGAGGGGTGAGAATTATACTGAGTTGATTCCAAGGGTTGGAACTAGGATGACTTAAAAAAAAAAAAAAAAAAAAAGACGGGCCAGCTTTGATATGTGAAGTAACTTTCTAGCAATTAAAACTACAGTGAACTACTTCAAGGTTCACTACCATGAACTACCTTAAGGATTTTCAAACTGTGGTCTGGAGAACACTAACGTCTGTAAAAATTTGAAACAGTCTTAAATGTTTGCTTTATTTTTTGAATATTATATGTGATATTCTAGCTTTTAAACACCGACCATACCTGCTCAGTGGTACTAAACATCAAAAGTTAGCATGTTAACAGTATGTAATGTCCTAAGGGTTTTCGTAGAAGAGTGAGCAGAAGTTAGACTTCCTGAGTTCAAAACCTGGTTCCACCTTACTTCTGGTGTAACCTTAGTACCAATCACTTAACTCCTTCGCCTTGCAGCCTTTTCATATGTAAAAAAGGGGGTTCGCCACACTAAATTATTGCAAGGACTGCATGAAGCATTCTATACAAGACTTTCAGGAGTTCAATAAATGATAGCATTTATTTTATTCTGTTAATACAATATCTTTGTACATATATGGAAATCTAACAGTAAAAACCTCCTGCAGGCTGATGGGCATTAACTACTTTTTTTTTTGGTCCCGGGAATCAAACTTGGGACCTTGTGCTTGCCATGCAGGCCCTTGTGCTGCTGAGCTATATCCCCGGCCCACTACTTAGTGTGGATCATGTTTATCTGTACAAGCACCTTAAGAGGAAGGTACTCTTATCATTTCCAGTTTATGGAAGAAGAAATGTACCTAAAACTTTAAATGACTCATCTAAAATCAAAGCTACTAAGTGGCAGGGCACAACCTGGGACTGGATGTATGATGTTGGTTATGAAGATAGTACATCTTCACTCCTCTTTCTTAAATGCTATAAGGCATACTTGGGAGGCACACCTGCTCGGTGCTCTACACCTGGGCTGGGCTTGTCCCTTGACTTAATAGGTTTGCAGTGGAAGACTGGAAAGCATGTCAATAATGCTGGGGTTTTTGTTTTTTGTTTTCGCCTTTTTGAGACAGGGTCTCGCTGTGCAGTTCAGGCTGGCCTTGAGCTCACTTTGTAGCCCAGGCTGGTCTCGAACTCACAGTGATCCTCCTGCCTCAGCCTCCTGAGTGCTAATAATGCTGTTTTAGGTGGCGGGAGCATGGACTGTTTAAAATATTTTGTAATTTTTATATTTCCCCAAATTTGGACAATTTGGATGTATTGTAATGAAAAGCTTATTTTTCTAATCACTCATAATTGTACAGTACTGATGTGCTTTTTAAATAACAGCTCTATTGAAGCTAGGGAAGTAGATGGCTCTTACTCAAACAACGTAGCAATGAAGGCTGGTAAGTGCACAGTGGCTGCTTTCATAGCACTAAAAAAACATACAGGAGTGTGACTGTACTATGATCGTGATTGATTTGTTCCTACTGCCCCGAATCCCATAACTTCTTAGAGGGTGTTGCCAATAATTGTATTAAATAATAATTTGTAGCAGAGGCTGTCAACCAAAAAAAGGTTGAGAATAAAGCAGGGAACAAATACCAAGGCAGGAAAGCTCTAACAGAGCATGAAATCATTTATGCTATAGTTCATTCATTATTATTAAGTGGTTGAAGGTCCTTAGAAAAAAATGAACAGAATGAAACACAAGCCTGTGCATATAAAAGTTAGCTGCTCTGGAAATTAAACTGTGCTCACACTGTTCATAATTTTATTTTGTTTTGTTTTTTTTTTTGGTTTTTCTCCGGTACCAGGAACCGAACTCATGACCTTGCGCTTGCCAGGCAGGCACTTTTGCCGCTGAGCTAAATCCCCAGCCCCTGTTCATAATTTTAAAAATAGACAAGTACAAGGTACGATCAAAATATACAGGGACTATTTAAATTAAAAAATGTTTATTACCACAAAAGATACATTGTCATTCATCCTTCTCAAAATACATCCCCTCACTTCATGTTTTGCTCATCCTTGCTAGTTTCTGAAGCAGTTCAGGAGGTCCTGTTGCAGAAATGTCTTTATGACATGTGGTTAAAGCTATCCTATGCATGGCGAATGCTGCTGTGTGTGCTACCCCGAGGATGGACAGGTTGAAGAAAACATTACAATGTGTTTTTATCTACCTCATTCACAGTCTGGTACCCCGTGACCTCAGGCTCTTCCCCAAAGTTAAAAAGATCATGAAAAGTAAGAGTTTTGGCTTGACTCAGAACATTGAGGCAGCCGCACCAGTGTAAAGACATGAAAAAGATTTCCAGAACTGTTTGAGGAAGTGGTGAGCATGATGGTGTTATGGTTTAGATCTGGAACGTCCCCCAAAGCCTTCTGAGCTCAGAGATATGACTTGTGGGAGGTGACTGGATTATGGGGCTGCTATAGCTGACTTGCTGTTTGGAGGTAGGTCCTGGTTAGAGGCGGTTCCTTGGGTGTGATCTGGAAGGGTGTACTTTCCTCCTTGACTCCTTCCTTTCTCTCCCTGCTTCCTACCTTCTAAGAGGTGACCAGCTTTATTCCACTCAGGCCCTTCAGCTATGTGGTTTCTATGTTTGAGTCTGCTGACCATGGACTGAAATTTTTGAACTGTGAACCGAAACAAACTTCTTTATGGTGCAGTTGTTGGGTATTTTTATCCCAGTGATGAGGAAAGTGATTAAGACGGCTTTTAGCATCAGAGAAGTGGGGTCACGGCCGCGAATACATCTAACCATCTGATTTAGAAGCCTTTGGAACTGGTTTGCAGGAGGAGCTTAGAAAGATTTGGAGGTGCTGGATAGAATGCTGTGAGCTGAGCTTTATGGGAGATTCTGATCAGAGCTGAGTTGACCACAGCACTGATAAAAATACAGACAGTAAAAGCCAGGCTCAGGAAGTTTCATTTGGGAGCAAGGACTCCATTGACAGTTGGACTCAAGGCAGTACGTGTTATGCTCTAGCAGAAAATTTGCTTACATTTTGCTTATGTCTTGAGACTGTTGGGAGGCTGAGATTGAGGGCAACAGAGTAATTAATCTGGCAGAAGAAATTTCAAGGCAGCCCAGTGGTCAGATTGTAGTTTGGGTACTGCTGGTGGGTTCTACTACTGTAGTTTGGGTATGACTGTTAGCAAGATTTATACTGAGAAACAGGAGCAAAAATCTCATTTAAAAAGTTTTCAGTTTCCCCAGAAAGCAAAGCCTTGTGTATCAGAATTGTTCCTAAACCTATGTGAAAGAACTTAAGCTATAATACTTATGAGGGCTGGGCGTAGTGGCACATGCCTGTAATCCCAGCAATTGGGAGGCTGAGGCGGGAGGATTGTTGCAAGTTCAAGACCAGCCTGGGCTACAGAGTGAGCTCAAGGCCAGCCTGAACTATATAGCAAGACCCTGGCTCAAAAAAAGACCAAAAAAAAAAGAAAAACCTACAAAATTTTCACCTAAAAACTTTTGCTCTTCAAAAAACCCTGAAATGAAAAGGCAAACCTCATACTGAGAGCAAATATTCTAAGACATATATATGATGAAGGGGTTGTACTCAGACTATATTAAGAAACTTTACAACTCAATAATAGACCAGTTGAGCCCAATTGTTCAAAATATGCAGATGTGAATATATTTTTCCAAAGAAGATAAATAAACATGTGAAAGAATGCAAATTGAAATGGTGATGAGATACCACTATACAATCATTAGAATGCTTAAAATTAAGATTGAGGAAACTGCATGTGTTAAGCACTGTCAGGGGAAGTTCTACTTGGAGAAGGTTCTGGAAGTGAGCTGGTTGAAGAACTGTACAGTTATCACCAATGAAATTTATTATATGTAAATTATTTTTCAGTAACACTAAATCATTGTCTATTTTTTTTGTTTTGTTTTGTTTTACTTCTGGTACAGGGAATCGAACTCACAACCTTGCACTTGCCAGGCAGGCGCTGTGCCACTGAGCTAAATCCCTAGCCCCAGTAACACTAAATGTATAAAATGGAAATAAAATTCAAGGCTTCAGTCACTTGGTTTTTTTAGAGAAAAAAACAAAAATGATGCAGAATTTCAAAACAAGAAGATAGGAAACTAACAATGGTATTATACTGCATATTGTTATCTTCAAAGTGGTTGCTCAGATTACCAGATATAGCATGCAAAATTGATCAGACAATACAAGCACTAACTCTTCCTTTCAATGAATTAAAAGAAATTAGTAGTACAGTTATCTAAGTTATTGTATATGTGTATGTGTGTGTGTTTTAAAATTTACTTTCCCTTCCTTCTTTGCTCCTTTCTCTCACCTCAGTTGTTCTTTCCTTTTGAGTAGTTTCTTTCCCTTTTGCAATATCTATTGTATGTGTTGGATCTTACATTTTATAAGCAACATCATTAGTGAACAAGAACTTGGTGAATCTCAGCCTCTATCTCACAGGATGTCCCAGTCTAGCCTACAGACTGAGCAGAATCCCATCACAGTAACAACAGTGTGAGGCGATCCCTGTCTGGAGGTTCTTTTGTTGAATGTGGATAGAAATCACAAACTGGCGCAAAGTGCAGCTCCGTTGATGTTCGCAGCTCTAGGCTTTGAGGGCCAGTACCGTTTAGCTGTTAGTGTTACAGTTCTTATGTGATAGCACCTGTGGTTCCTGTCCATCCCAGGAGCTCTCTCCGGCAGCCAGGATCCTCAGCCCTCCTGTCAGCTTTCAGAAGCTCTCCCAGCAGAGTTTTCGTCTCTCTGGGGCTCTCCCTTTGGTCTCCAAAGTTCTCTGAAGCTCACTGCAGGTCTCTGCTTGTCTCCACCAGTTTCCGCTGTTGTCTGCTGTCCTTGGCTCTCCGTTACTCTCTGGAGCTCTTCAGGGCGGATAGCCTGTTCTGTTACCAGCTCTTCATAGTATAACCAGCTCAGCCCATGCTACGTGACAGTAAGAATCACGAGTAAGCAACAGGACCAATAAAAGCAAGGCTTTTGTTAAGACCTATGCTGTAGCACTGGAGGGTAGCACGTTGAAAAGAGCCCTTCTGGATTGACCCAAGGACCGTGCGGGAGGACTACTTACACAGAGGATAAGGAGCCACGCTTTCAGTCTCCTGCATTTTAGGGGCCTATTTGGAGACTTTTAAGACAGGGACAAAGGGGCAGGGTCACCTGGAGGTTGCAGGGTAGCGTCATCCAGGACAGGTCCATGTGTCAAGCCAAGTGTGGCCGGGGCCAGTATCTCCTGCAGTGGCCATGGGGCAGCTGGCGCAGCCTCACTTGTATGGTGACAACTGCGTTGACTGATAGCACCTGTGTTTCTGCAAAAAAAAAAAATATTGGGGCTGAAATGACTGCTGCCACTTTGAAGGGAGCTCCAGGAAGGGCAGCGGTGTCAACCACGGCCCACCAGGGTTTGGGGATTTTGGAGATTTGGCAATGTGCCCCAGCCTTTGCCCAGTCAAGTGTGGTCCTCCGCTGCCCCTCAGAGAAGCAGGAATAGTGGCCTGGAAGAGGGGAAGGTTGTCACAGCTGCGGGCCAAGCTGGCAAGGCTTTGGGAGTGAGCACCTCGGCAGCTGCTGAGGGAACTGTAGAGGTGGCTGCCGAGAAGACACAGGGGCTCTCACCCCAGGGCCACCCTTGGGGTGGCAGAGAAGCACATGAAGGCTGTCAAGGGGATCACGCCCCCACTGGCTGTCAGAGGGAAAAGGGACGGGCCAGGCCTCACTGACCTATCTCGCCTACAAATGCTGTTATTTTGCTGTTTCAGGTGCTTAGAAGAACATGTAGCAGAGATTTTTGTCAAACAAATGGAATATGTCACAGAACTTTGCTAACATGAACCACTCTACACAGAAAGACGAGCACTTTGGTGGATATTCCAGATTTGCCAACAAAGTAAAGAAAGGTCTAGTGAATTTAAATAATATATGCTTCTGGGAGAAGGGGAAGGCTCCTGAGATATGTTCATTTTAGAATATACGAGCACAGTGGGTGGGAAAATGGTAAGTCTTGGGTTGTAGCTTCAAGGTCATCCTTAAGGCACATGGAATGGATTGCCTTCAGCCCTGCTGCCTCAAGGGTGAGGATTTGGTAGAAAGTGTGAGAAGAAAAAATGAAAAGAAGGATGTGTCTTCAACAAAAAAAAAGCAGACTTGTTATTTCCATGTTTCTGGCAAGACTCGTAGAACAGATATTCCTTGTTTAATGACATACCTGTTTAAAGACTGTTCAGACTTATGACTGAAGCTAAAATGTTAGCCTGAATGTCCTTTTTTGGTACAGTTCTGTACATCTTGTTTATAGAGCCTCAATATCTGTTCTTGTATAATACTTGTACCTTGTTTATACAATGCTGTAATTTTTGCTGACTGGACTGTACGGTGCTGTAGTTTTATATTCTGTTATACATCACAGTACTGCTTTTATGCAAATAAAAGCATAGTCATCAAATTGGAGTTTCCTTTGACCATTTTTTGTTCTGAATATTGTAATGTACATGCTATGTACAGTTCCTCATTTAGCAAGGAATAGCACTCAGTCATTAAGTGAGGAATGTCTGTACTCAATCTTAGATGTGAAAGACATCTTGCTTCCTTTACTTCCTAAAACTCGAGTTCTGACTGCAAGTCCTTCTTTTTAACAATTAAAAAAATTATTAATAGATGTTTCATTACACAATGAAGTCTTTATTTTTAACTTATTTCTGGGTTTATTTTTAAAGTATGTTTCTTATAGGCAGCATATAGTTGGACCTTTTTTGTTATCCAACCTGAAACCTCTGTCTTTTAATTGGGATATTTGGACCCCTTACGTTTAATGTGATTACTGTTGTGTAAATTTAAATTGATTGTGATTTGATTTCTATTTGATTCATCTGTTCTTTATTTTTTCTAGTTTTTTATGTTAAGTATTTTTTATGCTTTTACTTTATCTTCTTTGTTAGCTTATTATGAATAACTCTTTGCAGTGTTTGCCTAATGGTTGCCTTAGAGAAAATGTCAAAAAATTTTGGGCCAAATCTGATCCACTATATTTTTATGAATAAAACTTTATTGTAACACATTCATCTCTGTTTATTTATATATTGTCTGTGGGTGCTTCTACTCTATACTGGCAAAGTTGAATAGTTGCAACAGAGACCTATAGCCTACAAAACCTAAAATATTTATTATCTGGCCCTTAATAGAAAAAGTTTACTGATATTTACTTTAGAGTTTATAGTATACAACTTTAACTTATCACTACCATCAGTGATGTTATAACACTTCACATATAGTAGAAGACTTTTGAAAGAATGCATTTTTATTTTTCCTTTCCTGACCTTTATGCTGTCATCAAATATTTTATTTCTATATATATTATAAAACTTATAATATATTATTATTCTTTGTTTTAAATAGTTAATTATTTTAAAAATTATTTACTTTATTTGTAGCATCGGGGATTGAAATAAGAGTCTTCACAATGAGCTACATCCTCAGCCCTTTTTTATTTCTTAGTGTGAGAAAAGGTCTCACTAAGTTGTTAAAGTGCCCAGGTCAGTTTGAACTTGCACTCCTGCCTCAGCCTTCCAGAGTATTTACATTTTATATTTCTACTTAAATTGATCAATTTATACTTATAAATTTACATTTTATATTTACTTAAATGACTGTTTAGCATTTCCCAAGCTCTTAATTCCCTTATGTAGATCCAGATTTTCAACTGGTATCATTTATCTTCTGCCTAAAGGACTTCTTTGAACATTTTCTGTAGTTCAAGTTTGCTGGTGATTAATGCTTTTGATTTTTGTATGTTTCTATGTTTTCACGCAGCTTCTGGTTTTGAAATTATTTTTATTGGGTGACAGCATTTAAAAAAAAATTCATTACCTTAAAGATACTTCCAAAAAGTAACCTGCTATTGTTCTTTTATTTGTTTCTTTGCATAAAACAAGCCTTTTGCCAGGCATGGTGGCATATGCCTGTGAACCCCACACTTGGGAGGCTGAGACAGGGTTTCCCTGAGTTTGAGGCCGGCCTGGGCTACTAGTAAGTTCAAGGCCACCCTGAACTGCACCCTGTCTCAAAAAACAAAACAAAACAAGAACCCCTTTTCTGCCTGATTTTAAAATTTTCTTTCTATCCCTTAATCATTGTTAATTCCTATCATCTTGTTTAGAAATCCTGTATCATGTTTATTGATTTGGGTTGTTTTGTTTCTGTCTTTGTTGTTGTTATTTTGTTATTTTTTTTCCCTTTAAAAGAAAAAGTGGTGCGATTATGATGTGCCTTGTGCCTGAAGTGCACTGGGCTTCCTGGATCTCTGAGTCAGTATTTTTAAAAATACTCAATTTCAACCATCTTTGAAGTATTTCTCCTAGTTCCCCTCTCCTTATACAATCAGAGCCTCCATATTTGCTGGACCTGCACTTGCAGATTCAACTGATGGCGGATCAAAAATATTTTGAAAAGATTGTGTCTGTATTGAACACGCAGATTTGTTTTCTTGCATTATTCCCTAAACAGCGTATTATAAAAGCACTTACATAACATTTACATTGTAGTAGTGTTCTAAGTAACCTGGAGATGATGCATATTGTGTGACAGAGGCCAAGCGTGGTGGCACACGCCTGTAATCCCAGCACTTGGGAGGCTGGGGCAGGAGGTTCATTGCGAGTTCGAGGCCAGCCTGGGCTATACAGTGAGCTCAAGGCCAGCCTGAACTGGATACTGAGTCCCTGTCTCAAAAAGACAGGAAAAAATAAAAGTATGTGACAGAATGTGCTCAGGTTATGTGCAAACACTGTGCCATTTCAGAAGAGGGACCTGAGCATCTGAAGATGTTGGTCTCTGCAGGATGTCCAGGAACATGGTCCATGTATACTGAGGGACAATTTCTTGTTTGGACCTCTGATTCCACCTGTATGACGCTCCCTGAGTTGCCCACAGCTTTCTATACACTGTAACTTTCAGTCCTTTTCCTTTCTCACTTTTTTGGGAATGGTTTCTATGCCCATGTCTTTAGATTCATTAACATTGTCTCCCTGCAGGGTCTAATCTCTTTCTTTTTAATATTCATTTTGAAAGTTTTTTTTTGTGGGGCGTCTTTCTGAGACAGGGTCTTGCTATGCAGTTCAGGCTGGCCTTGAGCTCACTTTGTAGCCCAGGCCGGCCTCGAACTCTCAACGATCCTCCTGCCTCAGCCTCCCAAGTGCTGGGATTATAGGGGTGCGCCACCACGCCCGGCTTCTAATTTCATCTAATTGTCTAGTTTTAGACAATTTAGTTTTCATGTTTAGAAGTTTGATTTGAATCTTGTATATCTTTAGCTCCACTTACCGTGCCCAATCATTTCTTCCAACTTCCATGTAGAATACAGACAATGTAGCAACTAGAATCAGTGTTTATGTCTACTAATGCTATCACCTGTGTGATTTCTCAATTAGTTTTGATTGTTTTATACTCATTTTGAATCATACTTTTCCTTCTCCACACACCTATTGCCTTTTTTTGTGGATGACAGGTATTCTGAATTTTACTTGTTGGCTGCTCTTTCTGCAGCCCTTTACATGTTCTTGTGCTTTGCTCTGGGGTGCAGGTTACGTTACCTGGAGACAGTTTCATCTTTTCAGAATCCAGTCCCATGGTGGGTTCAAGTAAGGATTCCATTACTCAGGACTTTCTTTTTCAAATCCTGTGTTTTCAGTGTTCTTATCAAGAAGGGCAGCTCTGACACCAGCCAGCCCTGTAGTCCTGATCGCCCTTTCAGTCAGGAAGCCTGACCCCTCGTGGGGAGATTCTCTCCCACCCGTCCTCCTTCCGCCGCCTCTAAAAACCCTCTTCGCTGGTCTGCAGCCTCAGGCTTCGAGAGCAAAAGCTGTTCAGCTGCACCTGTGTTTTGCCATCCTCCTCCTCAAGTGGAGCGGAAAAGAATGGCCGTACCATATCCTGGCTTCTCCTCCTGTTTACCACCTGCGTTATGTTCAGCCGCCTTTAAATGCTTTGTCCTCGGCCCAGGCTCGGGGGTTCCTCTCCCCACAATCTCACTCATTCATAACGGAGCGCTTCCTGTAGGAGGGGGAAGCACAGCAAAGGGCTTCAAGGCCTGGGGTCATGACGCAAATCGTGTTCGACCGCGGCTTCCTCACCTGCAGTAATCATAAGGGAAAGGGTGACTTGGGTGGGTAAGTTCCTCCCTCTCTGCCTCAGCTTCCTCACCTGTTAAACTGACCCCTACTAGTCCCTCTCCAGGGCCTCCTTTGGGGACCGAGCTTCCCTCTGTGAAACAGAGTTTTGTTTGTTTGTTTGTTTGTTTTTTCAAAAATTCAGAGACTAGGAAGGAAATGGGCCTTCCAGATAGTTTCCAAGCAAACCACGCCCGGCGGCCACCCACCCGTACCACCCCCTTTCTGCTGGCTGTCTGTGTTTCTCTCTGAGCATTGGGAAGCTGAGGTGAGGATAATTTGGCTTACTGTACGGACAGCTCAGAGTCATGATGACTCCCCACTCAAAATCTGGCTTCGGTGTCAGGCCTGGCAAATCCACACGCACACTCAGGAGGGGACAAGAAGGAGAAGGTTTATTACTCGCAGAATGAGGCTCTCTGGGAAGCGCAGGACAGGCTTCCCCGAGGTAGCTGAAAATGAGGCAGCAAGGATGTTGCTTAGGGGTTTCCTTGAGGTTAGCAGAGGTGACCTGGAGGGAGGGAGGAGCTGGTGCCGTGTGGGGTGCGCGCCCGTGCCTTCCCATCAGCTCCCGGGCTGGGCAGAAGGAGAGGGGAGGGCTGCGGCTAAACCGCTGTCCCCCAGGTCATGCTCTTTTGCACTCTCAGGCGGGAGTCTGTGACTGTCCCCCGCTCTGCAGACTGACGCTGCTGCCTGAGGAGTTCTGGCAATCACAGCCGCTTCCCAGATGTGGGGAGGAGTGGGAGGAGTTACATCTGCACATCACAGTCCAGTCTTAGGAAATGCAACCCCGATTTTCTATTGTTCTTTTTTTGGTACCGGGAATTGAACTCAGTACCTTGTGCTTGCTGGGCAGGCACTTGTGCCACTGAGCTGTATCCCCGACCTTAAAGTGTGATTTTTTTTTTTTTTTTTTTTGGTACTGGGAATCCAACTCAGGACCTTACACTTGCTATATAGATGCTTGTGCCACTGAGCTACATCCCCAACCCCTGATTTTCTAGAAATGATCCCCTTCTGCTTTTTAACCCCATGTCTGCTCCAAGCAGACACATTTCTTGCACGGCTCTCTGGAAAGTGAGAGCCAGCCGGCCTCTGGGACCCCCTGGCCTCTCTGGATCTGTGTGGCGCTTGGCTGGTGTCTGACTCTGGGCCCAGGAGGAGTGGCTCTGCCCCCTACCCTTCTCCTCGTCCAGGCTGCTGTCCTTTCTGTCGCATCCTTCCTTTGCTCTGGGACAGTCCTCTTCGCGGCACTTACACGGCCACATTTCCCTAGACTAGAGAGGGGAAAACCCCAGTAAATTCTGAAAGAGAAAGATGGGAGCCGGGCCTGGAGGCACAGTTTTGTAACTCCAGCACTCTGGAGGCTGAGGCAGGACGACCGAAAGTTCAAACCCAGACTGGGCAACTTAGTGACTTGTGAGACCCTGTCTCAAAATAAAAAATGGGCTGTGGATGGAGCACTGATTTTTTTTTTTTAATAAGGAATGTGTTCTTGAAAATATGGTTTAATGTTTATCTCTTGTCAAAAGACAGTTTCTCTCCATTTAAAATAAAACTTTAATATATTAATATACACCTGGTTTTGGTTTTTTTGTGTATGTCAATTCGTTATTTTGTACTGATTTTTATTTTATTTTTGTTTAGGTTTTACTGCTGCATATCCAACACAATCTTCCATTCCCTTCAAATCCCAAGCAACAATAGTTACAGAACCAGAAAAAAAAGGATTTAATAGCCAAGCTAAAAGATTTTATCATAAAAAGGTAATGACATCGTCTTAGAGATTCTTTTCCTGCGGAGTTTAGCCTCAGAGGACAGGTTGTCGTGTCCCTCTATGAACGGTAGGGGGCAGTGTCGACCAAGGAGCCACAGCTCTCTTCCGCAAGATGCGCGCCGATTGTAAAATGAACTCAGGAAATCGGAAAATGTCCTAGGGAACAGAGAGTAGGAAACAAGGAGAGGGGGGCCCGACACAACCATGTCCAGGAATATGGAACCAAAAGCACTTAAGAAAAGTATTAAAACCATAGAATATAAAATCCCCTAAGTCTCAGGCATCCTAAGTTAAAGGTAAATATCCCTCCACTCCAATCTTTTTTTTTTTTCCGGGCCGGGAATCGAACTCTGATCCGGAAAGTTCGTCTTGCCTTTGCTTCTCCCACCAGCAGGGGGCGGAAGCAACTCGCAGATGTCCTTAGCGTCTGTATTTTTCATTCCTTCATTCATTAAACCCAAATCTTAGGAAGACCATTCTTTTCTTAAAAGAAATTTTTTTTTTTTTTGTACTACAAGTATGCAGTCCATAATGATTACGTTCATCATGGCGCTCTGGTGCATGTACATAACACATCTTGAGGAATGGCATCCTTTAGGAGCAGCCATCATCCCACTTACCTTTTACTGCATTCTAAACGTACCTGTCCCGCCCACCTTGCCTGGGTTCCAGATCAAGTTCTGAACGTAGAGGCGGCTTGAAGCAAGGGTGGCCTGGCTCCTCCTGCACTGAGGAGCTAGAGGATGTTCCAAATTCCAGGTCTGTTATTGTAGGATTGTAAGAAAGTGCTGTATTTGTATAATTACTTGTCGATTTCCCCAAAGATGGGTAAGTACTTGCTCGGACATTTTCTGTCTTCTCTTCCTAATTTCTCCGTCACCGTCAGTCTCCCCCATTTTCTATCTGGCTCCCCATTTGTCAACTTAATGATCACATATTGTCCACCTCCCGAGTATCCGTAACTCAGACTCCAGCACAAATATCAGCAGCCACCATTTACTGATCCCTGCCGTCCATCAGTCCTGCTTAGGTTGTATCTCTACTCCTCGGAACAATGCTAAAAGGAAGGGTTTATTTTCTTAATTTAACAGAAGAGGAAACTGAGGTTTAAGGAGGTTAAGTGACCCACCCAAGGTCATACAACTCGGGGCTTGGCACATAAGAGGCTCTAAGTAAATATTTGCTGAATCAATGTTGAAAGAATTAGACCTCAGCCCCGGCCTAGCTCACTGCAAAGCCTCTTACCCTTCCCACACAGGGCCACACCTGCCTTTGTGGCCTATAAGGCCGTAAATTTGGTGGAGGAAAGTCAGCAAGTTTCTGAAAAGGCCTTGGCAAAAGAGACCGGGCTCAAAAGAGGGCAAGACGTGTGCTCCTGCGCGGAGCCTCTGTTCTGTGTGATTAGGCCTGACGACTCATCCAGAAACCGAACGGCTGACTTTGAAAGTTACAATTTAAAAATACTGCTGTTTCCCAGAACACTTTCTACCACAGGAGCCAAGATGGCCGCCGGCCAAAACTCCGGGGCTGGGGCGGGGTGGGGGGGAGGCAGCGCAGAGAGAAACCACTCAGAATTTTTCTTCCAGCTTTTCAAAAGTGGTTGCATTTGGTTGACAACGTGAAAACTAAGTGTCTTGAAAGCATTTTTTTTTTAAATGGAATTTTCTGGAAAGGTCAGTGCTTCATAAACCAGGCTCTACTCTGGGTTCTACTCTGTCGCTAGCTGGTTCGACTTTGCCCTTGCCTTGCAACCAGCCCCTTGATGTTTCTGGGTTTCCATTTCCTCATATGAAACGCAAAATTCGGCTTATGTAATTCTTGAGGTCTTCTCAAATCCTCAACAGAAAAATGAGCTCTTATTCCATGGTCGTTATTTTCCTCTTTCCTGAGCGGAATGAGCCTTGAGACGTTAAGGAGCTTGTTCGACACCACCTAATAATTGAGTGAAGCAATATAAATTAAAGACAGATTTTAAAACCCCAGTGTTTCACCGCCCTGCTTAGAACAGAATCGTACACACCCTTCACCCGCTGTCAGAACTAGGTTGTCTCCTCACCTCAGCTGTGACCCACTTAGCATGGCTGGGGCTGGGACACGTAGCCGGGGCCCTCGGGACGGGACGTGCACTTTCCTCCCAGGCCAGCTCACAGTCCCCGAGACACTCGGGCCACTGGGTCGGCGGATCCTTCACATGGTGCCTTGTCTAGCTGGGGACTTTGGGCTACTAGAAATGAAGTGTGTTTCCCTGAGCTTTTTATAAGTATTTACAGATGCGCTGGCAACTTTGCATTCATGAAGAGACATGCCTCTGTGTGACAGAGCCCAGCCCAGCACCCTGCTGGACATTCTCTTCCCCACCTCCCAGTTCTGTCCGTGTCTCACCCTGGGCTGTGGTTACTGTTTCCCCAGCTGTGTGCCTCTAGGGTAGCAACGGCGAACCTTTCAGAGACTGAGTGCCCAAACTGCAACCGCAAACCCACTTACGTATCTCAGAGTGCCAACCCTGACCCTCCCAGCACTGTTATCTGGTGCTCGGCTGCTGGGGCAATGATGGGGCAACTTGGCTCATGCACCGACAGAAAGGGCTGTGTGCCCACTGCAGCGGGCGTGCCATAGGTTCACCACTACTGCTCTAGGACCACCATTTAGCGCCTTTATGTCTTGGCTTCCTCATCTTAAACATAAGGATGTTATTATAGGTAGATCTTTGCTAGGTCTTATCTAAACCCGATTCCTTTCAGCCCCAAATGGGCAGGCACTGGTAGGTTCTGAGCATTCTGTCCTCCAGGTAGCACATTTTAAAATACAAGGTGAGCTGGGCGTGGGGGCGCACTCCTATAATCCCAGCACTTGGGAGGCTGAGGCAGGAGGATCGTTGTGACTTCAAGACCAGCCTGGGCTACAAAGTGAGCTCAAGGCCAGCCTGAACTGCATAGCGAGACCCTGTCTCAAAAAAAAAAAAAAAAAAAAAAAATAAAATAAAATACCAGGTGACTCCACTCAGAGCTGGACAGGAACTCTACCTTCCAAAAGGTAGCAGGTCCAAGCTCCATGTTTAAAATAGTGGTAAAATTGTATAAAGTCTGTACTGTTCCTTTTTCACTTGATAAGATCCTGAACCAAGGATATCGTACATGTCAGGGACATTAGATGAAAGGCCAGCTGTTTGCTGAGATCACCACGTTCACGGGAGTAATCACCCACGTGGGCCCTCCGTAGGGCGCTTCCCAGGGCGCCCCATGTCAGTCACGGCTCACCTTCCTAAGGCTGCAGGTTATGGCCCGGGAATATCAAACACTTGGCTGACCTTCACCACGTACCCAGCACCCATCAAGGAGCTTTGCATTTATTAACCCACTTAATCCTTGTAATGACCCCGCGCGCTAAGTCCCACATTATCTCCGCTTTTCAGATGACTCTGAGACAAAACGATGGTTAAGTAACTTGCCCTACTAGGCTTGGGCAGGGCCAGGGTGCTGCTTCCCTGGCATCTCCCTGGGCAGGAGTCGTCCGCCCCCATCTTATGTCCCAGCTGCCTTCCCCTCGCTGTGCACGTTTTATCTGCACCAGCCATCTGGGAGGTTCCTGGCAGCGGTCATGGATGTTCTCCAAGGTCCCTAAATCCAATGACTGTCCCAATCCAAGTCCGTTTCCCATGGAGTCACAGGAAAACACATCCACTTTGCGCAGGATCTCTTTCTTTTTGAGGTGCTGGGGATCGAAGCAGGGTCTTGTGCATGGTATGCAGGGACGCCACCACTGAGCTACACCCCAGTCAGTCCTCATTTTGCAGTTCTGACGTGGCTTTGTCAGCCTCGTCCTGGAGCTCCTGAGCAGCTGACGGCCTGGGCCGATGTCCTGCTGTCTGCACACAGGCCCTGGCCCACCATACGCGGTGTCATCAGTGTCTGTGCCCTGGTGCTGCTCAGGGCGTCTCGGAGGGCTGTGAATAAGCCAAAGCCAGGTTTAAGAAAGAGGCCCAGGGGCTGTCAGAGACAACACTGGCTTGAGCCTGGCTCGTCTGGCTTCTGTTGTCTGGCTGCATTTCTGACCCAGCCAGGCCAGCAGTGGTGGGGACCTGGTCCCTGTGTCCATCTGCTCAGGTGGCGTCTGTCCCTGTCACCTCGCTTTCTCCGTATGTCCTCTCCCCTGGGAAACTAAGAAACACAGATTTCAGGAAACCAGCGCTGCCTCAGCAGAGCTCATTCCCCTTTAGGTGCTCCCCGAGGGGATCCCGGGGACCTTGAGCTGCTGGCTGCCTCCCCATCCTGAAGGGAGCAGGGGAGTTTGCTCGACTGAAACCCTGGTGCTGGAGAGGGCGGGGGGAGGAAGCGGAGAGGCGCACGGGGCAGGGCGCCTCCTAAGCAGTGAGGCTGAGCGTCTCCAGCAGCGGCACCAGAGGGGCCTCTGTGACCTCAGAGCCCCCTGGGACAGCATCTCCTGCTGAAGCCCCTCTGTGAGCCAGGGGCCAGGCCGCCGCTTCCTCCGTCCCTCCAGGGGTTGCTCGTGGGAGCCGGGAGCAGAGCTGGGAAACCACAGGCCTCGGCCCACCCTGCCTCTTTGCAGGCTCATCCTGGGGGGTGAGGGAGTGCAGCCACGGAAGGTCCACATTGGGGCCGGATGCCAGCTTTCCTGCCCGCTGCCCTGTGTTCTCTCCACTTCCTGGGCCACAGTCCAACGAGTACAAGCTTTCTAGCCTTGGGTGAAGTCAACAGGGCGACCCGGGTGTTGGTAAAAGGCGACCATTCCCTCAGGAACTCTGAATTCCCATGTGGTGTGGCTGTGGAGCAGCCACAAGATGCCGAGTTTCCCCCCGGGGCCTGGCCGCCTCCTGTCCGCACCTCTAGCCCACTGGAGAACCTGTCATTTCCTCTCGTGCTCACCTGAGGACACAGGCTGCCCACCCCCAGGGAACCCAGAGCGGGTGGAACGGCTTTGGAGAAACAGTGAAAGCAGAACCAGGGTCTCCAGGGCACAGCTCCGTGCAGACCGCGTTTTCCAAGCTAGGCAACAAGTGTAACAAAGCAGTGATTGGAGACACATCAGAGTACTAATTGGACAGAATTTGTGAAATGAAGACTAGAAAATCCAGTGCGTATGGAGATGTGACTCGCTCTAGGCTCTGGAATATTAAGTCCTCTGTGACCTGTGGAGACACCCAGGGCGAGGAGGAAAATGCCCTGCCTCCTTCCTTCCTTCCTTCCTTCCTCCTCCTCCTCTTCCTCCTCCACTTCCTCCTCCTCCCCATGCCCAGCCTACCCCAAGCTCAGGGGACTGTGGTTCGTGTCCCACTCTCGGCACATACAGATGCTGCCCATCCAAGACTTTTATCCTTCACATGAGCTGTCAAGGTGTTTCAGCTGAATGTCACCCGGACGTGAGGTGGGTGGGAGGATGGAGACGCATCCTGGTCATCCCCGCCCAGTCTCACTGCGAAGGTCTCAATGACCAGGCGAGGGGCCTGGCTCTGTGGAGGCTGTTGTGAGCACTTCAAGAGTAATGATGAAGATGAGGCTGAGCCAGACACAGCGGCCCACATCTGTGAACCCAGATACTAGGGGAGCCGAGGAGGAAGATCACAAGTTCAAGGCCTGCCTGGGCAAGACCCTGTCTCAAACTAAAATGTGAAGAAAGGGCTGAGGGTGGAGCTCGGTAGCGGAGCACTTGTCTGGCATGAGGAACGCTCTGGGCTTGATCTCTGGCGCCACCAGCACTAAAGGGGGAAGACAGGACAATGATGTCACCATCCCTTGCGATTACCCCTTTACTGATTAAATTGCTCATTTAATGCTTGAGGCAGATGTGGGCACAGCAGGTGCAGCCTCCAGCCCTGGGCTTCCTCAGAGCATTCAGCAGGCAGACAGGAAGGCTCTCACGAATACGCACCCTCCTCCCTCCCCCCTCCCCATACCCATTTCGCTTTGTTTGTTTGGTTGGCTCTTGCCATCGGAGGTGGTCTCAGCCCCGACGCTGAAGGGTGGCTATGATCATGCCAATCCCAGCAGGGCTCTTTTTCCCTGGTATTATATCCTCTGAAAAGCTCAAACTCATCGCTGTCACAAAATAATAGTGACATGAACGGTTATCCCTCAGGCAAAAGTCCCGGATTTTTTTTTTTTTTTTTTTTTTTTGTCCATCCAGAGAGCCAGAGCACACCTCTACCTGTTGCAAGAGGATGCCTGACTTCTGTGCCACTATCTTCTCCCACAGAATCGACTTGGGCATTGCATGGACCGAGTGGTGCGCCGTGAAACCAGCTCTGTCTTCCACAGAGATGAGCTCCCGTTTGTAGCCTTGGCCAATTTCTGTGGTGTAAACATTCCTAGCTTGGCTAATCTCAAGTCACCATGAGGAACATTAATTTTTCCTTTTTCTTTAAAAATTCAATTTTTTAAAATGAAGTTTATTGGTACATTGTAGATATACACAACGATCACATTCAGTCTAGGGAATTTATACCTGTACATGGTGTATCTTGATGATTTTTTCCCCATTCCCTTCTCTTGCCTTGAACCCCTCTTTCCCTCCTTGTTCACAAAGGCTTTGTTTCCACTTTTTCCTTTTCTCAGTTTTCCTTTTCCCTTTCTTTCTTTCTATCTCCCCCTCCATAGCTCCCCTTCCCACTTGAATATCTTCCTATTTCACAATACCTATTTGGTCTTTATTTACACTTTCAGTTTCTCACACCAGAGAGACAATGTGATGTTTATACATGTGTGTCTGATTTATTTCACTTAAGAGTATAGTCTCAAGGTGTATCTATTCACCGAGAAATGTCTCAAGTTTATGGCTAAGTACTTGGGATGCCTTTGAGCAAAAACCTCTGCATCTTCTTTATCCATTCACTAATTGCTGGGATGTTTCCAAGATTTTGCTATTATGAACTGTGACCTTATAAACTTGGGTGTGCATACATTGCTGTGATATGATGCTTTAAATTTTTCAGGAAGATACCAAGAAGGGGCATACCTGGGTCAAATGCGACTTCTAGTTTTAGTTTTTGGAGGAACCCCCACACTGATTTCCACAGTGGTCGCACTGGTCTACACTCCCACCAACAGTGGAGATGGATTCCTTTTCCCCGACATCCCCACCAGCATTTGTTATTGGTTGATCTCTTGGTAATAGCTATTCTTTCGGAGGTAAGATGGAATCTCAGTGTTGTTTTAATTTGCATCTCTTGAATGACCAGTGATGGTGAACATTTTTCCATATATTTATTTGCTGTTTGTACTACTTCATCTGAGAAGTGTCTATTCATTTCAGAAGCCCATTTTTGAATTGGGTCTTTAAATTTTGGGGCTACGTTTTTTTGAGTCCTTTATATAGTCTAGATCCTAGATCATATAAAGGATCTGGGTCCTTTGTCTGAGGAATAGCTGGCCGTGGTAACATTTATTTTTAAGAGTTCCCTGCATCAGCTGCCCCTGGCCAGCTCCAGCACACTGCTGACTGGAGGACCCGTTTCAGACATTCATGGGACATTCATTAAAGGCACACAGGCAATACCCTCTCCCTCCAGGCTAAGAGGTGACAGTCCTCTTCCTGTGTGCCCTGAACTTAAGCCAGTTGGCCATGTGGCAGTGTTAAAGTATGATTGAGGCCCAACAGGGTTGTCAAGGTTAGCAAATAAAAATATAAGATGCTCAGCTCCGTTAGAATTTCAGCTAGATAATTATTTTTAGTATATCCCCAAATATTTATGGGCTATACTAATGCTAAGATAGCTATTTATTGTTCCTCTGAAATTCTAACTTAATTGGGCAGAGGGGATGGAGCAGTCATTGATGTCTTCAGGTTCTTTTTTTTTTTTTTTTGGTACTGGGATTCGAACTTGGGACCTCATGCTTGCCAGGCAGGCATGATTCC